TTTTCTTCCAAAGCTATTTCCTGATTTTCCTCCAGAATATTACTCAAGGTAGTCAACTCTTTCTCAAAAACTTCAAATTTCCCACTCAAGATAGTTTTTATTGACTCATATAATTGCTTATTCATATCATTCAAGATAGTCATGAAGACTTTATTATTCTCACTATTTGGCTCTGTGCTCTCAAGTTTTGGCTCATTAGAAAAAAATTCCTCATTTGGCATTGGAGACAACTTACACTGCAAAGATAATGTATTTCTCCAAGGTGAAAAATGATTCCATTTAATGTACAAAATGATTAAAAATGCATTAATTCTGCATTAATTCTGCATTTTTCTGCATTAATTCTGCATTATTAATCATTTCGTGCATTATATGTAATCATTTTTCACCTTGGAGAAATACATTATCTTTGCAGTGTTAGTAAAAGAAGAGGAAACAGATAATTTTTTATTTTCATTTAAAATTTTTTTGAAGGAATCTAAAGCTGAGATAAAGGGAGAGCCCTCACTAAAAATTTTTTGATCTAATTTATTAACTACCTCATAAGTATTCTGAATATACTTTCTAGTTAATTGAGAAATTAAATCAACTTTATTAAAAATTTGCTCAATGTTTGAGCTACTAGTCAAAAAATGGTCCTCAAAAATTCTATCTACCTTATCCAATTCATTGAATCTGTGATGAACTTGTTTGAAATTCTTAGCCATTTCATCTAACATAGGTAAAGCAAAATCATTTTTTGTTAGCTCAGAAAACTTGTGAATAATAGACCTTTCTTGAGTATTAAGAAAACTTACATTTTCTTTTTTCACTTGCCTCGGCGTTGATTGGAGCTGTTGGAACCCTCCTCTTGTAGGAGGGTTTGACCCATCATTACCTGGGCTCTGACGTAAGCTCTCGCATCGTTGCGATCGAATTGGTGACAATTCTCGTTGTGGTAGTGCTTGGAGTGCTTTGGGGGTTGGTCCTCCTTGGTCGCTTGAGGCTGAGATGTAGCTTTCGGAGCTTGAGGCTCCTCGCTCCTCAAAAAGAACCCCTGGATTGATAAGTCGTTTGGATTCCAGTCCATTGTCCCGTTCTTGAAGGAAGTTTGAAGCCAATCCATGATCTGTTGGTCTTTGAGTCCGTAGGTCTTGCTCAGAACTAGCCAGTTCTTCCTGGACCTGAAAGCTGCCTCCTTGCATAACTTGAGCTTGGTCGGGTTCGAGTTGTCCATTGCTCGGGCTACTTCCCATTTGAGGTAGGCTAGTTTGAGCTTCTGCCAGACCTCCTGGTACTTTGCTTCCCCTACCAGCTCTTGCTCTGTCTAAATTTACAGAAGACAAGGGTAAGCTTTCAGGAAAATTAGGTGCAAGAGGGGTTGATAACTTACCAGTTTGCGAGACTCTTGTGGAGCTCTTGCTACTCCCACAGGAGTCTTGCCTTTGTCCTGAGGGACCGGCTGTTGGTTTGATCCTTCGGCCATCGGCTTGTCCTGAATCCTTGACGAGGTTGCCGTAGCGGCTGGGTTTGGTCCTGCTACAAGCAGATGATGATCTTTTGTCAGACATTGTCTAGACAAGCAAAGATCGAGAGAGAGAAGAAAAAGAATGAAAGTCGGTAAGTATCACTTACGTGGAGTTGAGAAGCGCGCTGTGGTATAAACAAACTTCGGGTCGGTCGTGGTACTACGACTCTGGAGGTTAGCGGGGTGCTCGCTTTGGAAGCGCTCGGGTGATCTTCCTGGAGTAGTTCCAGGAAAAATCGACTCGGCGTATGGCGTAGGTGACGCTGATTGTCTTGATTCCGTGTTGCTGCAATCCGAGATACGCTGAGAGACGGATTTGAATCTAGCACCGTTACCGTCGAGAGCTCCTTCTTCGATCTCGGGTAGTTCTAACTCTATTCCTTTATCTTCCACTAACAAGAAGATAAAGAGAGAGAATAAAAAAATACAGAACAACACAACACAGGAACTCTTGTTAGTGTTTGATGTTTCTTGATAATCTAAACAATGAGATTTCGGTGCAAGTAAACCAAAACACTTACTTAATTAACAGTATCCTGATTTAACTGTCCACAATTGAAATAAATGACAAAAAAAATTGATTTTGGAGAAGGTTGGTCTGATCTAAATAATCAAAAGATAATTTGATTAGTCAACTTATTTTCTGAATAAGCTGATTGATAAATTTTTTGACTTACTCTCTAAAATGATAAGTCAAAGTAGTAGGTTTGTAGAAAAAATATGGTGATCTTTGACCGATTGGTTCAAACTTAAGATAAGTACCAATTAAAAAGGTATGATCGTTAGTTTTTATGTTCAAGTTTAAACGTCAAAGCTTTGGTTACTTACTTTGTAAAAGACTTAACTTCAACGTTCAGAGCACGGTAAGATCTTTTATTAAAAAACAAAACAATTAGATTCTAAACAAAATCAATCAACAATTTACTTAGTAAGTATTGTTCCTTGATTCGGGTTTCCAAGAAATGGAAGAACTTACTCTTTCAACAATAGAATGACTATAAGAAGCAAGATCGATTGATTTATGTTTCCGGGGTAAGATTTAATCAAACCCAAAAAGAAAAACTCGATTATGATTTGATCCTCTGATGGCAATTTCCAAAAAAAAAGATGAGAATCCGAATATAACGATTCAATTGCAGATAATTAAGTTTATGATCTTGGATAAGTTGAGTTAAATCTCCAAAGCTTCCTTTCTATAAGGAAACTCTTGATAAGAAGGTTTGATCAAATTGAAACAAATCTATAATATTATCTTTTAAATTGTCAATTTCAAATAGTTGAATCGATCTTCAAAAAGGTAGTCGACTTCAGATAAACGACAAAAGAAGGAGGGGTTGATCTTTAAACAACCAACGATACAAGAAAACTAGATGGAAAGTAAACGAACTATAAGTTCAATATTCAATCTGATCTTTTATGTATAGCTTTTATATAGAAGATCAAAAAAGATAACTTACTTTCTTGAGACTTATTGATTCTTATTCAAGCAAGAAAGGTGAGAAGAAAATCAACCTAGCCTCAACAAAGATCTAGTATATTTCTAGAATACAATGTGAAGATATCTGATTGGCTTGAGGAAAAACAGTTTTCGTCGTTGAAATTGAATAGTTGGTCTTTTGATGAAATCCTTGGTGGGACAAATGGCCCTGGAGTTCGTAGCGTGAAGCCTACAACTCGTGGGCCAATCAACACCGGTAAGGTTTCCGAAGGGATTAGACGGCAATATCAAATCCGTGGTGTGGTTGTTGACCGAGGTATTTGGTGGGTTGAGGGTTGTGGAACTTGGATATTCCAAATTCGAAAATCAGTTCAGTACTGTCCCGCTGTGGATCCTCGGACCACGCGCGGGGCTTATACTGGTTTAATATATGTAGGTATATGTAATGTAAGTGGCACGTGTTGGCTCTATTACAATACAAAGTATGTGGCTTACACGTGTTTATTTATTCAACACACCACTTTTGAATGTGTAATTCAAATATATAGGATCAACTAATGAGCCAAAGAATTGAAAAAATAAAAAAATAAAAATAAAATGTGAAAATTGGAGGGGGGAAATGATTTATTTCTTTCCTCCAACCTATTCTCCTGATTTTTTGAAAATGCTGAGCTCACTCAGTTTTCAAGTAAAACAGGTCAGAAAAAAAATGTAGATATAAAATAAAACTGATATGTTTTCGTTTTTAATGTTTTTATAAAATAAAAAGATGAGATAACAACTCTAAAAAAAATATAAAGGGTTCAAAAACACGATGAGGCCCCCAAATTGTGAGCTACTAGCGTCTTTTAGGCTAGTAAGTCACTAAAAAAAAGTTGGGAATAATAAACTAGGTTTATTATGCGCGTGAGAAACCTATTTAAAGTTTCTGAACAAGGTTGTAAAGAAGCAGTGGGATCAAATCCGCACTGACTTCAGTTAGATGACCTCTAAACAGAGGATTTTTAGGATACAAATCCAGGGATTAAGGCAAGACAAGAGTCTTCTGGCCGGATAACAATAGACAACTGGCACCCAGTGTCGTGCCCAAGATAACCACACTCTACTCTAGAGTTTTTAAACAAGGGAAATATCACCTAGTGATAATTTGAAGTTCTTTAGACTCTGAACACAGAGGGACTTCCGTGAGTTTAAAGTTTCTCAAGTTATTGAATCCCTTCAATAACTTGAGCAAAACTTCTAGGATCACCTCCTGAAAAAACAGTGAAGTCTTCAAAAGAACTTCTACAAATAACAAAAGCAATGATTCAATTAGAGAAATATACAATGTCTAATGGAAGAGGACAAGGACTCTTATTTGTCTGATTGATGAAGTATTGATAATTTGCTTAAATGTAATGATGATGATAGATTTTCCTGGCGGGTCAGAGAGCTCTTTATATACTCAAAACCCTGAAAATCCTTTATGTACAACTTGTGGTTTGATTACATACTCATTTGACGTATGTAATCATGAATTCTTAATTATTTAATCATTATTTGATTACGCACATGTGTAACTCTTGTGTTACTCATGTGATGCGCACTTGTGAAAGGCATTCTTACATAATGCAACCTTTTAGTTACATTTACATGTATGTACATATGTAATTTCATATGTAACTATATCTAATTACATATGTACTTGGCTCTTGAAACTGAGCCATGAGTTGTAATTATTATTTTTGTTATTTTATAGTTATTTAGGCAGCCCTTTGGTACTAGTAATAGGGCTCAGGGCTGACAGTTTCTTGGCCCTCTTCAACGTGCTTTGTCATTGTACGATGGTTACCAAATGTACAGCAGCAAAACCACCACAGGGCTAGCCAGTGAGTTTACCAAACATTCACTCCCTGCTAAGTAAGCTGATCCTCTTCTTTTGTAGTGCCAGCTCGTAATACTCAAGTAGGCTTTCCGCACCAGAACAAAGTTGTAGGCAACACCTGGAAAAGCCTTGCTCCTGAACAAAAAGCAGTGTTTTATCCACCCTTTTTCAAACGACTTGCTCAAACAATCATGCAGCCTCAACTTGGCATTGAGACTTCAACATTGGTTCAAATTGAAGATGAAGACTCAAATAAACCATTGGACTTGGCACCTTACCTTCCTATTTTCCAAGAGCTTGTCAACATGAATAAAGTCAGGAAGCACTTTGAACGCGGATGCCTTGGTCATTGCCAAGATATTCATATTGAGAAGAAAGGTCGTGCCACAGTAAACAAGATTGTCAAACAAGTGAGTATGCATTTCTATTGTATTCTTTCAGTTTGCACTGTATGTCTGACTAATAACCATTTGTATTCAGCTACATCTAATCAACACCCAATTTGACATCGAGTTCCATCTCCTTGTCTCATCTTTCAATCCAAAAACAAAGCTTGCCAAAGAGCTGTGGACGGAGGAACACAACTCCTGTAACTGGTGGGCCGAGTTAGTCCAAAACGAGCATCATCTACTGGAAAACTTTGCCAAGGAACCTACCAAATGTCCTAGCAACGTATTTAAAAAGCCTAAAGTACGAGCAGCCCCTATCAAAGTGAAGGAGCAGACTTGTTTGCGCACAGAGCTCACGTTACGTCTCAACCAACTTGTCGGTAAGTCTATAGTCATTTGATATTTAAATTTCAGATATCAGCTAAATTATCTCTCTCTGTTACATTGACTTTCTCGGAGGCTCAACTACCTTACCCGCCACGACCTGGAATTGACATTCATCCAAAAGGCGCCAATTCAGATGTACAACTTTGAGCTAAGAAATTTCTTCAAAAAGTATGCCTGCAAGTTCATCGCACTCATGACTGTCAAATCACCAATACCATGCTTGAGAAGGGAGCTGCCCCGGGGAATATGAGCCTTGCAGACGTCCGGCTTTGGCTGGAAGAGATTGCTGAAGGAAGGTATGCAGTAGTTGTAGATACTGAACAGTCTCAGTCTGTTAATGTATCAAATTGGTAAGTCCAAAGCCGCCTTCTTCGAAAGCTTTCATTAAAACCAAAGTATCTACTTGTAGCACACTCTCGTGATTACACAAACAACCAATTATGTTGGGTGATAAAGATGTACATACTCAGGAATCCAAGTCAAAAATTTACAAAAGAAAGTATTTTGCGCTTTTTGTGCTTTCTTGCTTTTCAAGTATAGTTTTGTTCCCATGTGGTTTATATAACCATTTCATACAATGTTATGTAGTTCTTTGATTCCACTTTGATTTCTGAGCACTTTGCTCATTTTGTAAACCCTTTCAACTCTTCAGATATATATACCACAGTTGAAAATAATGAATATAATCATTGCAATTGATATGGGATGAGATTATATATGTAGCTATACATAGTTCATTTGATTTGACAATGCCAAGAGATTGTCACACCAAAATCTTCATGGGGTACCATAAGGTACCATGGTTTGCTGTCTCACCAGTTGGTTTGATTGATTATTGATTGGTGAGCTTGTGGGCCAGTAATTTGCCACCAGCTTGCTAACCTTCACCAGGCACAGGTGCGTGCAAAACCCATCAGTAAGTTCCACCAGCTCACCATCCCACAAGTTACCAAATTAAGTCATGGGTCAACTGAACCACAAGCTGACCACCCTATCCACATATAGTCTTGTGATCACCACCCCGCCAGTCCTTAACCTCGCTCTCACCACCCCACCAGCGCTTAACACTGCAAATATAATGTATTTTTCCAAGGTGAAAAATGATTACATTTATTTCACAAAATGATTAAAAATGCATTAATTCTGCATTAATTCTGCATTTTTCTGCATTAATTCTGCATTATTAATCATTTTGTGCATTAATGTCAATCATTTTTCACCTTGGAAAAATACATTATTTTTGCAGTGTAACCTTGCTCTCACCACCCCACCAGTCCTTAACCTTGCTCACCACTCCACCAGTAGTAAATCACCCATCAAACAACCAATACATCCAATTAAGATGGCTGCACCTCTTACATTTCTTCCTGCTCCACACCAGACCACAATGCTTGAACCCAAAGGAAACCAAACAGCAATGGACAACTATGTTAAGGAGTTTCCAATACCCCACGGCTACAGGATAAACATCACACATTCTTCCAAAGACAAATGTAACATTTGCCACTACAAATGCCATTGAGGCGGAAAACCAACTCGTTGCAAACCCACCAATATCAATCAACCAACTCCACCAACACCGTGTCTGTATTCTTGTAGCCCGTTGACGTGCACACATGGTAGACTTTTGATAGCCACTCAAAAGATCCGACAAAGAGATCCGTGAAGCAGACCCGTGTTCCCCATTGTGATCAACTGAGAGGTTGGCACTCAGTCACACTCAGCTGTTAAAAAACAACCCAAACAATCATATTGCCCTCATATTACCCTGCCTTTTCATGTACCTATCAACATGTTTCAACGTCCGTTTATTAATCAAAAAGCCATTCAAATTTCACTATTCTCCGTTCGGAAATAGCCTCGTAAATTTCCCTACTGCCAAACTACCTCTACATCCCTTTAATGAGATTAATATAAATAATTATGACATGAGTTTCTTGTTATACCACTGAACCCATTTCGAGCCCAAATGCAATTAATTGTACCTGAATATCGTATGAGTTCTTGAGTGTTTCAAAGCTTGGCACATCTCTATATATGGGTATCTTTATATTTGTTTGTGTTTGCCTCATAGTGGGCCAAAACTTCAAGGCTCTTGAGAAGCAAATCGCTTCTTTAATGGTTTCACGGTCACCACTTGAGCAATGTGATGATGTCATTTTGGTCTTTGATTGTTACATCGAGCAGCAAGTCTTAAAGCCACCGGTGGGCACTGGGGTGAAGTCAGATTAAAGGTTTGAGTTGACTGAAATATACATATGTGCACAAGCACCTCAAGATCAATTAGAGGTCCTTCGTCCTTTCAAGCTGCTATTATGACTTGGTTGATTACGTCCACGAGATCATGCGAAGAGTTGATATTGCTTAAATCACCTTCTGCCCGTTCTCACTTGTTTAAATGAAAAGAAATTTGAGATTTGATTCAATGTTTGCTTTGAGGTGGTACTTTGGAAGAAGTGGAAGCCCTTCAAACTATGCCTTGAAGTCGCTGGGCCTTCCGGTGAATCACTATCACTCCGAAGTTGTTTGCGGGTGAAGGGCTACATACAACATCTATATAGAGTGAACGTCTCTGTAGTTATTTTTCATCTTCCAATCAAGGAAGTCATTTCTCTCTGTGCTTTTTTCTTTCATCCTGGCGTATCCTTTGTTATCTCAATAAATAAATCTGAATACTCTGTCTTGCTTTATCGTACTTTTCATACTGAGTTGTGATGTCTTCAAACTCTTCTAAAACTGCTGCCATTCACTCGAAGAGCTTCAAGCGATGGGCTCACGGAGTTAATCTCAATGAGAAGCTGGGAACTGTATCCAGAACCGAAATGATAGCAATTCAGGTGAGTTTGTTCATCTTCTTTGATCTGTGACTAAGTAGATTCACTCTAAGTTTCATTACCTCGTATAAGTCCCTCGTTCGTAGACATCTTTGTGTTTTGATGTGTTGAGAATCCAACATGTCACCTATACCACCATCTTTATCGGCAGACAAACAAACGGGATTACTTGAACGCTTTCCAGTCGACACGCCACTTCCTCACGCGGGCTCTATGACATTAATTGATGTAACAGACTTTGTCAATACGGGTGGTCACTTGAAGAAGGAAGACTTTGGTACCGTGGAAACTGACCTCATGTGCTGGGGTCTTTGTCGATTCTGCTTCAACTGGGAGACCAACCTAGATGATTGTGTAAACCAATTAGCTCGCGAAGTCTTCTGGATCTCCTTTTTCCGTGCGATCAAGTTACGTCCTTATAAATACACGATCAGCCAACACGTTCTCACCCGCGAAATTGTCATCCCGGTATTGTTGAATGAGTTCAATAACCTCTCTTCAAGGTACCGTTTTCAGTGCAGTAGCGTGGAAGTGTTGGAATACCATGACATGGTACATGAAAAAGCGGCCATAATTTTGAGTTCCAATATTATGTGTGTTCTTTTTGATCATGCTGACTGATATTTAAATTTTGCATCCAGGCTTGTAAAGAGTACACTGATTACTTGGCCAGAATGGGTGTACATGAAGCGATTGTTGCGGTGTTCCAGCCAAGAAACTGTTTTATTATGGGCAGTATGTCTAAAGTCAAGATGATAGTCGGTGATGTGATGGTGGATCAGGTGCATGTGGTCATACCTCGATGGTGGTCGGACAAGGCAGTTCGTTTCATGAGAGTGATTGAAGGTCGGATTCAGGCTTTCTCCAACATTAAACATACATTTCCTGGAACCGCTCGTGTGGCTCGTAAATATGTCACCAACAACTCGAATGAATACGGTGTCGTACCCCGTCATCTTCCAGCCGACTTATATAGTGAAGATTTCAAGAACAATTTATTACCTAGCGAGCTTGTGGAACTCAAGATGAAACCAACCGTACTACCTGATAGCAATCAGATGGGATGCATTTTTCCTATGGATGAAGACGAATTCTTTCACCATGAATCCAACTCCGTGGAGAACGAGTATTACTCAAGCGACAACAATGATTCATCTGATGAACTGGATGAGACCAAAACCGACCTTATGCTAAATACTACTCAGGGAGAAACTTGTGAGATCAAGCGGGTCGAAATGCTTATTCAAACTCAAATCTCCAATTTACACAAGAAGATAGATAACACGATCGAGAGTTTCACTGAATTTCAAAGTGTTGTACGTAACAGCCTACCCTTGCACTTGGCGGAACTAGACAAAGCCAGAGAAGACATCACCAATGTCAACAGAAGCCTTGATGAATTAAGAGCTGACTTAATATCCGCTGGTTTGGTCACTAATTCGGCAAAAGCCAATGTGACTACCAATGTTGAAACTGTCTTGTAAACCTGTTTATCACGTGTGCTAGTGTATGATCCATGATTTGTTTACAAAATCATATGCTTAGGTTAAAGGTTGTTGTAGAGTCATGCCTGTTTGTAAGAGTATTCATAGTGGGAGTCTGGTTTGAATTATGTAGTTGGAGCACGTAGGTGTGGCAGGTGGATATATGTGTGTCTGACTGTGATTTTCAACTTGTTGTGGTTCTTGATATGGATTTGGTTATCTTTTTTGGTTACAAGATTATACATGCGTCTTTGGAATATGACTTTGCTTTCCGAGTGAAAAAGTTGCCTGATAATGGTGAGAATCCCATCCTGATCCTTCATTGGGATACCCTGATTTGTTCATTTAGACAGATCTTGAATCACATTTTGAGAACAGTCTGAGCTTGCTACAAAAACGGGTCTTACATATATACATTCATAGCTTATGAAAAATGGTGGGTACATTGCTGTATTTTCTATCCTGTCAAACAAGATAGAAAAAGATCAGCAAGCTTTCTAAAAAGCAAATCTCTACTGGCAAGCCGGTATAGATTGGCGTCTCTTGAGATACGTGGTTTCATTCTCTATGGTTCTGAACAGTAAACTCAAAAAGGCACCCGATGTGCTTTTCTCAAGATGTGTGGTGCGTCTAGGAACAAAAGCTCTCGTACACAGGATGGGTGAGCTGATTTTACAACCCGGTTGTCTGCACAGGAGGTATCAAAGGTTGGAAGAGTTCCTTTCTCTAAAGGTGTGCTTTTATTCATCACCAGTTATCTTGAATGATTTTTCTGAAGAGTGCTTCCGGGGTTAACTCTTTCATCCTTATTTGAATCCGCTCAACCTCAAAAAAGTGTACCTTCCTGAGAATTATGAGTTTTGTACCAACAAATACGCAGTCAACGCCCTCCATGATGAATTCTGGTGGCAAGAAGCAACATTTGGAAGAAAATGACTCAACGAATACTGGTTTGTAAAGTTTTCAACACTGTGGAATTCTTCTAAGCTCGTGCTGATGAAATATGCACCATAACCCTACTGTTTCTTTAGGATTAGGTGAAGAGGGACTTCATGGGGATGAAGATTCAGAAGACGAAGACAGTGATGGTGAGGGATTTGTATCTTACGTAATATAATTCATTATGAGCAAACAATCACGAAGGTGACTGACTGAGGACCTCTTGCTGTTCTAGATGGAGACCTCACACAGGAAGATATCCTCGAAAGAAAAAGAAAAAGACACACCTTCCCGAAAAAACAAACTGAATCAAGGCATCAAAACACTGCTATTGGAAAGGTGGCTCAGGCGCATCTGGTACCAAAAGCGGCAACTCCTTTGGCCAGGGCGATTCATGATTTTGCAAGGATGTTATTGGGGATCCCTCGGAAGGCCAAGAATTCGCTGGTTGTCGATGACGATGCTGCACCTTCGCTACCGGACCCTCCAACGGATGAAGAACCTCATAATTGGGAGTCTCGTAATCAAGTTGGGGAAACATTAATCAGGAATGCTCAAGAGAAGGCAATGAGGAAATACCTTTCAAAAAAGCCTCCCAATTTCAAACCAAATCAAAAGCAAAGGAAGATGGTGGAGAAGGATGCCGCTGAAGCAGTCAGTATCGACAATCCTTAGAGGCCGGTGATCTTTGTTTCTCGAATTGCGTTGGCTCGTCAAACACAATATGCACATCATTTTGGTGCCCAATGCGAGGCAGCGCTTGCGATGGCGGGTTTTCCTCGATGTACCTTTGATTGGAACGCCTCTTATGACTCTCCTTGGAATGCGGCTACATCATCAATTCTCCTGGCTCATTGGGTGAATGCATACAATGCAAATGGAGCAAAAAGTTTTGGGATTTTGAGCTCAGCGAACACACCTCCAAATTGAGAGGAGGTCCTTCGGCGCTGGGTTGGCAATAAAGGTCCTAAATTTAAAGAACAAATTCGTCATGAGGATATGAAGAAAACTGCTGATGGGAAAAAGAATCTACAAGAGAGTGTAAACGTGAAGCAGGGAAGAATAAGACAGAGGCGGAATAAGGAAAAGGTAGCGTACTCACCTTAATGATTTAATGTTTAAGAATCGGAAAACTGACATGTGTTTTTGTTTTGAAAGCTTTACAAGGCACGCTTAAGCGCAGCTCGCAAGCTCTTTGGCAAAGACTCAAACGAGGTTGTGATGCTATCACATCCCGAAATCCATTTGGACGACGAACTGGCCAACGTGAATGATTTTGGAAGCCGTCAAAGACTACGACTTGAATGGAGAAGCGCCGAGTTAGACACATTAATCTCCTTACTTGATCAATTCCACATGAAACGACAGACCCTGCCAAAAACGAAAAGAGCAGCAAAAGCTCTAGTGGAGCGCGGTGCATATGCTCCTGAACCAGATCCCGACCAATGCCCATCAAAAGGTTTTCAGGAGTCTTTGGTGTCCCCTGCGTGGCTAGACTCTCAGGCGGGCCTACTCATTGAAGAATTGAACTTAGATGAAGAAGATCATTTCGATATAAAAGGAGTGATTAAAGACACTTTAGAGGCGTTCAGGGCTCGTGCAAGCGTGGGAGGTCAATCAAGTAGTGGAAGCGCCATGATGTCTTGAAATGTGAACAAAGATGGGTTGAAATCCTGGCTGGCTCTGGATTTATTATGCTTATCTATCAAGTGAATAAAGTTTAGATTTTTGTGCCCTTTGCTGTGTATCCTGATTCCTACCTCTCTCTCCTAATGTGAATCATTTACCTACTGTGAATATAACCCTTTTCCAATTTTTCCTGACGTAAATAGCTCTGTTTTCTCTGTATATAAATTCCAAAACAATTATTATCTTTTTCTTTCAATCATTCTATCCCTTGATGATTACTCTGGACCTTTGTTAAATTCAAAACAGTTTCTAAAGACATAGAATCCATCCAGTGCGCCCAGCACTTTGAGTGATGTTTATTGAGTTGGTTATTACACAGTCCGGTACATGCCTATGTATAAACATGTATCAACAAATATATAGATACTGAGTTTTTCTCGTTTCTTCAGCATCTCCGATCCCGCATTCTTTCTTTGGAGAGTTTTCCTCCTCTTTTTCTTTTCCAAGTCTGCACACTACTACTATCAACATGGCTCGTTTTGGGCCTGATCACTTCCAGTGTACATGTATCCCACTTGGATGCTCTACCCGACAGTTCATCAGGGACGGCGAAACCCACTCTGGTCGCCTATTCCATCGCACAAACTATCCAAGGCACTTGATGGCTTCTCAAGCATGTCCCGCGAACTCATTGCAACAGTCTAGTGAGCTAACGGCTCAAGTCAACCCTGTCGCAACTGTTTGTCCAAGTATAGGACACACTGCGATGCATATCACTGCCCAAGTTCAGGCCGGTCTGAACACAGTCTCAAGGAAAAAACGTCACCGATCGCCCAATGAATCAGAGGGACCTTCCACCTCTTCTAGTTTCCACCGCCAGCAACCAATTCGGAAACATCCTAGACTAGAGAGTAAAGAAATCAACAATAATGAAACTGGCCAATCTCAAACCCACGGAAAACTCACAAGTACCATCCAATATGCGCACAAATTTGACACCAGAGCATTTTATACCTCACGGACCCTCCTCCAGCACACCTCATGTGTCCAATCGATGATTCATGTTTTACACAATTATATCTTGAAGAACCAAGCCGTGAATGCCTGCCAAACATCCCTTCGAATGGAACATCACAAACTCCAGACTCTGCTCGCGAGAACCAATGCTAATTCTGAACCCATCTGGAAAGAAATTCCACTTACGGTTAAGAAGCTTGTCAGCACCTTTCACCTGGATGTCCGTGTTTTGGAGACAGTATCTTGTACGGTGTGCTTTGGCCTCCATGGATCACCACCAACCAATCCCCACCCTAATATTTGTGATAGCTTTCGATTCTCATCAAGCAAACCTTCTCTCCCTCGTTTTAAATGCAAAGCCCCTTTATACAACCCACCGGTCAAGACCTCTTCAAACTTTAAACCTCGTCAAATCTTTTACCACCAGAGTTTCCTTGAATGGCTTTCCAAGATGCTCCACTCGCCCTCTTTTGAAAACAATCTAGATTGTTTGATAAAACAAACTCCTCCCCCTGCCGGAACACTGAAAGATATCTGGGACGGCAAGCTCTGGAAAACTTTCCGTTCCAACGGAAAGGTCTACACCAAAACTGCAGGAATCCTCGTGTTTGGGTTTTACGCTGACTGGTTTTATCCTTACGGAAGTAAACCAGGAAGGCAACACAAAGCAGGAATTCTCCTTCTTATATGCTTTAACCTCCCGCCTCACTTGCGATACCGAGCTGAAAACACCTTCTTATATGGCATCACCCCAAGCCGTCAAGAGCCAAACAGCAAACAGATGAACCTTTTGTTTTGACCTCTCATTGCTGAGCTCCACAAGTTATGGCATGGAATTTGGTTCACCAAGACGTCTCTTTTCCCTGATGGCCGAGTAATTTGGGTTGCTTTATGGCCGCTCATTGGTGATGTGCCTGCGATGAAAAAGATCTCCGGCTTCTCGTCTCACAGTTCTACAAACTTTTGCTCTAGGTGTTATATCACATTGGACAACATTGATGTCGTTGATAGTAAGATCTTTAAACCACGAACAGCGCTCACACATCGACACCAAGTCAAGGCCTGGTTAGATGCACCAACACCAAAACAGAAGGATACTCTGATGAAAGAAAATGGAGCACGTCATTGCGAGTTTTACGAGCTTCCTTATTGGAAGCCGGTTGATTTTGAAACTGTTGACATAATGCATTGTCTTTTCATCGGTCTCTTAGGTGATCTTTCAAATACTTATCTTCAAATCCCGGATGCTGGTAAACTCCTCAAGAAGCAACAAGACACTAAGATTTCCAACGGCGATTACCCTCTCCCAGTCACCCCTCCGCCTCATGGAGAAGATGTCAACATGAGTGATGGTATGCTATCTTGCGCACCTGAAGAAGGTCATGTATCTGGCTCTTCGAACCTTCGAACACAGTACTCACGTGAGGCCAAATCTAAGAGTGAAACCAACAATTCTCACGACAGACACGACAGAAGTCCTTGTAGCGATGCGCGTTCCGATTCTACTTTGCACGGTGTTCCAGGCCCCACCCTTACTCCACATGAGCTTGAATTGTTACATACATGTATATCAGATTCTTTGGTTCCTTCATGGTTAACCCGAGTTCCAACGAAGATAGGAATGCCACATTCTGGCACACCAAAAGCCTCTGAGTGGCTTGTTGTGTACACAGTATATATGGTTCTTGCAATAGTTCCCTATCATCATGAAGCCAAACTCAATTCAGACTCGGCCAAAATCCATTCCGCCATTACTCTTGCGATCCAAATCATCAACATTTCGGTCTCACGCACTCAAACCACAGAAGATCTCAAAACTCTTGATGACCTCCTGGTGCAATACCGAACGCATCTCTTGAAAGCTTGGCCCGGGATCAAATCCAAGCCCAACTTACATTACGCACAGCACATCTCTGCACAATGCAAACTTCTTGGTCCACCATCTTACACGGCAGCTTGGTCTGGTGAGCGCATCATTGGTACACTGATTGCTGCATCCAAAAGCAAACATCGCAGTAAGTTTTTTTCTCCTCCTTTCTGTATCAAAATATCTCATATATTCTGTACTCTTTCTCTCACATACAGGAATAGTCGCCCATACTATGATAAAAAAACACACACAACGGTCATTTTTTCTCAATTTTTTAAGCAACACACCCTCCGAATACGCGGATGAAATTGGTGTTGATATCATCCTATCTACATCTATACCTAAATGGAAACCATACTCGCCACCAGTTGATATCAGACTTTCAATAGAACCTTTACTACAAGCAATGAGCTGCAACTCCACGACTTTATTAAAATCCACCTCTGTTTGGCGTCATGCTGGAAAGTCTTTCAGCACATTTGCTGAACATCGAGGTAATAGCCATGTAGATTTTGTTTGTAACGGACAGCCCGGTTCGGGGGTGATACATCACATAATACTTCCTGAAGGTCACAAGGATCCAATCTTTGTTCTACACGTCTTCTGTGAGCTTGATTCAACCGATAATTTTCGAAGCCCATATCACCAGCTACCGCATCTACATGCCAGATTATTGTATACAGACTGTTATCTCAAATCTGTCCTCAAAAAAGATCTATTTGGACATTGCGCCGCACTTCATAATTCCACCGGCAAGTTTGGCATTAATAAGGCAACGGTTTCGTTGGTCAGCCTTCGCAGCATGGCGAGTAGTTTCACACAATCATAATGATATTGCAATCATCAAGCTGACAGATATTGTTTTGCAGGGAATCTCCGATATGACCACAGATGACTGATGTCTCATGATTTCTGCACATTATATATACACACAAGCTGATAATTCCTGATTGTGCTGCTTGCTAGGACACATGTAAAGATTCAATATATACAAGTCATCTTTATTTTGAGAAAGTAAATTGAAGATTGAAAAAATGGCACACATGTTTTGATTCATTACAAAAGTGAGAGATAAGCTAAATAAGTGAATTTTCGATTTGAGATGGTAAGGTGTTTAAGAGGCTTGAAACAGACTTTATGTTGAGTGAGACCTTTTCTTCAGCTGTTAAAGTTGAAAGGAAGATTGGGTCATAGCAGTTTTCCGGGAGCCCTCTACAAACTGGAGCATGAGGGTCATTACGCGTAGCGCTAGTGCGACACTGATCAAAGCGCTGGCCCGCACGCATTGGACCGTTCTTGGATGAGCAGTATTTGTAAGAAACTTGATCAAGTTGATGTAGAACATCGGTATATTGGTGGCTGCGCCAGACCAGGCCAACCAATGGGTGATGTGTGTCTTCGGGGTCCCACTCTGTATCAGAACAACAGTCGTGGTGAGGTAAAATCTCGGATGCTTCATTTGCCAGTTTTTCTCGAACTAGAAGGCGAGTAAGTGAATCTTGACGGTATTGAAATAGTTAAAGAAATATGTTCACATATTAGCACACAGTTGGCAAAATGGTAAGATAAATCCTGAGCTTACCGTCCGCTTCTTATGTTGCATCTCTTTTTGTAGATTCTTCTGAGGAGATCGCCGACCCTGGCGGATCTCTTCAGCATGTCCACGCATCCATCTGAGTACTATTCCAATACAAATAGCTTCGGTGTTGTGGGCGGGAGTAATGCCACTTTTCTTGAATGCGCCTTGCGTCTCGGCATATCTCCAATGCTTGACAAGGAAAATTGCTATGGTTTGATTCCAAGGATCCTTGTCAGGTGATTTCCAATCAAACGTCAGTCTAGGAATTCCATTCTTTTGCAAGTCGGCAAGTATAAGGGCTTTGAATCAATAGAGTTTTTCCTGACTTGCGTCGACATCAACAGAACTCGAATGTGTCGCAAAAACCACGTAATCAGACATGATCTCGTTTTGACTCAGAGGCCGTAGCTGGCGGCGTTCATCAAGGCTAGGCTCTGGAGGATAGGTCTTTGTCATTTTGTCGTAACCAATCACATATCTGGTAAAGCTTGCTATTGATTGGCAAATGACTTCAGTCGACTTTGGAAGCAGATCATAAACTGAAGCATTCAGAGCTTTGACTGAGGTGACCATAGCCCCTTTCTTCCAAAGGTGAGAGGCTCGAGCTGCAAAAAGAATACACTGTTAAGAGGAAAGCATTTACTCGATGTGAGATGGAAAAAAAGGTTCAATAACAAACACATCTATAAGTCCTTTGGGTGTGATATTGATCCAATTGTATTTGAAGGACACCGGAAATCGATTGCTGAGCTTTTGGTAGTGATCAAGAAACACATTAACTCATATAAAAAGAGGACTGGAAATCAAGTAGGCTCAAGGGCTTTCGTCAGTCCTTTGTTAAGGAGGTGTTAGCTTGAATTGGGAGGCTTTCTTTTAGAGATCAGATATGCCTTTTGAGCACGACACCGATGAATTCTTGCTATCACCTGTAGAGGAAATAAAAAAAGGATGACTGCTCCCCTTCATCTGCAATCCATTTAGTCATTCGGTAAGTATTTGACTGATAATGTTACAAAGGGTACTCAGCAACACCCTCGGTCAAAATTCAATCAAAAGAGTTTCAGATCTCTTCCGAAACTCTTCGTGTGTGCACGTCGACGTGCTCCGACAGTACAGACACGGTGCAACACAACCCACCCGGTCAATCAAGATTCAATGTCCAATCTGCCTCACCGCCCGGTTTGATGCGGGTACCAACATGTGGAATCTATTTCATGTGCAATTGGGTCACAATCATGGGCCAATGATTGCACCATCTGACTTGGAACACCCTCCACCACCTGATTCTAAGCCAACAACTTCAAGCATCATCAAAGCTACTGACATCAATAGTGTAGGACAATCTCTCACCCCTGCTGTGAATTCCTGTTCTTAATTTCCCGATTTCTTGTTTTCTTGCTTTCTCACTTTCCTTCGCACGGATATACTGATTTTTCAATTATTGAACAATTGCTTTAAAGGTGGACACCTTTCCACAGGAGATTAAGACTTGTGCATTGCATATTTTGCAACTGACACCCAACAGACAAAACATGGTTTTGCTGGAGCTTGACTTGGTATTGGATTGATACAGTGCCATGCGTTCAACTATTGTAAGTATCCACTTTCATGACTTATATTTGAAAACAAGGTTCACTTACATTTGTTTCAGAGTCCCCCATTGGTTGATGAAGCGGGTTTGAATAACAAGGAACTTGTAAGCTGTTAGCTGTTCTCTGCATTCAACCACAAAACTCTCATTACATACACACTCACTGATTTTTTCTTTACAGAACCTTGCCCTCCAATTCTTGAATGACAGTCGCTTACAAGACCGAGTAGGGGATTTGATTTTGGGAGGCGCGAATGACACAAACATGGTCAGTTTATTTGCATGGTCAATATTGATTCTTCAAATTCACTTTCCCAAATCAACTCATCTGATTGTACTTCGTTTGGTAGAAGAAGACCATAACCATCAATAATGTGATCCAAGACTTTGAAGACGAGCCTGTGCCTAAAGATAAAGGAGTTCAAGCACCAATTGGGGTAGCGGAAGCCAATTCTTGTGCTGATGCAAACATTGTGAGTTATCATTTAGATTCATTCCACGCTTCACCATATACACTTTCCCGTGAGGTATTCTCTTGAAGGAGGCTGAAGTTGCTATCTTGTATCTCATCTCAGGCAAGTATCACAAATTTGGTCTCCAAGCAAGCATCTACAAGCGCTTTGATTGATGATAGAGCACCTATCAAGAAAAATAAGAAGCAATTGATGGATGATAGAGCACCTATCAAGAAAGGTAAGAAGCAAGTTAGAGCAAAGAGATTTCCCCCTTCAATTGATTGTACTACTCCTTGCATCACTCGGTCATAAATCCATACTTGACACTTATCAACTTGACACTTTATCTCTGGTATTGCAAGGCAAACTTAGCATTATTGTGTTATGATGTTTTCATGTTGTATAGCAACCATTAGCAAATGTAGGGTTTCTTGTCGCAAAACCTGTGTATTCCTCAATTTCTTGAATTCGCATTGTTCTCTATCTATTGTCACCCATCTTATTCTATAACAACCCAATCCATAAACTGTTAGCTATGTTTAGATTTTGGGTGGGGGGTTTTGGCGCAATGATTTGTATAGCTTTCTTGATAAGTTTCTCACTTGAAATCAAAATCAACAACAGTAGTTGCTTATCATCTGACACAAAACTCACATGTGAAATTGAGAAAAAATATTAGTAATGGGATCTTTTCATGGGTGTTTGGATATTTTGAGGCTCAATGACAAGAGTAGGAAGTTTTTAACAAGGATATATTAGCGAATCAATTAATCTGTTCAGTTTAATCAACGTTCTGACACAAAAACTGAAATACTCTTTGTTATGATTTGCAAATAAGTGGTAAGTCCTCATCCTTGTTGATTAAATGAATTTATACCGGGGTGTCTCAACATGTGAGTCTTGTTATGCATCGTGAATGGAGTCATGGAAGACTTTTATCTGAGACGCAGTGCTCAAGAGGAAGTCTTTTAGTTTTTGCTTTTGAGTGCAGTTAAAGTGAGCTCTTCATGCAATACCATGAAGATATCATTGTGTGTGTGACTCGTGAGTTACATCATGCAATATCCATAATTACTGTAGTTTGATTGTGGATTGAGCAAGGAATATCCACAGGAGGTGTTTATATTTTGATATGATCAAAAGAACCACTTGATGAAAGATGTGATGAAAGAAGCATATCAAATTCTTTTTCAGTTGGCTCACTGCCATTTAACAAAGAAAACAACCCGATAAAAGATGTGATGGTTAAGAGAATATTCAATTTATTTCAGTTGGCTCACTGCCACTGAACAAAAACAATACCTCTCTATAAAAAAGATGTGATGAAGAAAAGAGAATATTTGGTTTATTTCTGTTGGCTCACTGCCATTGAACAAAGAGAATAACTCAATAGAAGATGTGATGGAAAAAAGAAGATGTTTGATTTATTTATGTTGGCTCACTGCCATTGAACAAAAAGAATACCTGTATAAAAAAAAGATGAGATGAAAAAAGAGACTACAGTTGCTCCAGTCTAGTCACAACCAGACTTGCTCCGCAAAATCAAAAATTGATTACACAAATTTATACACAAAATCTCTAGTGATAAAACCTATGTAATAAGTCATTTTTGGGCTAAATGGGGGGTGTTTGTGCCAGAAATGACTTATCAAGTCAATCAGCTTGGCCGATTTTTTTTCAAACACTTTTTTTCCCAAGACCTCAACATTTGGGTCTAGGTACTTAAGAGGCCTAATATTAAGTACTTAAGTACTTGACTCAAGTATTTAAGTAGTTAAGTCGAGTATTCAAATACTCAGGTAACCCCTTAGCTTGGTACTCAAGTACCCTGAGACATACCAGTCCGAGCACCTCTCATCGCGCCTTCGTCGCACCTCATTTGGTGCAAAACAGCATATTTTGTGTATGAATTTTGTATAACATTTGTGTATAGATAACCAGGATAACATTCTCGTATATAGATTCACCATCATAAGAAGAGAATATAGTAAAAAATCAAGGGTTACAAATGAAATCAAGATTTAAGGCAGAATTACGTGGAATACATTGGTGAGAAAAATATTACTTGTCTTTGGCCAAGTTTTCAGCTTGCAGTCCAGTGAAACCATCTCTGAATTTCCATCAAAAGACATGCATCAGCAAATGTTGATGAGACAAGATGAGAAAAATCAAACATACCAATAGGTACTCATATGACAATCAACCTTTTGAAAATACTTTTGGATTGTCAATACCGGACAGCACTTGCGGATCTGCTCAAAGAGAGCCTGGCAATCCTTGAATGTGGTGCATTTGAAGCTGTTGGTTTGATAATCTGTGATCCAAAAAGATCACTCAAATACACTAATTAGTTAGTATTCAATGAAAACACTTACAATGCTTGATGAAAGACCAGTAGAGCTTGATTGGGTTGAGCTCACAGTGGAACTTTGGCTAGAACAAGCATACATGCCCAGCTTCCTCAATGACCATCTGAAGCAAAGGCTTCTCATTCGCAAAATCCGACTGCAGGCTCAAGATCTTCGAAGCACAGCAGTATGGATCATTGGAGCCATTGATGGAGGGTGACTGGGGTTTCCCCCTTCTCATAAGCTTCTTATGCCTCTTTTTCACATTGTAATCGGGATTCTCGAGCAGCTAGATCATGTTAAGTGGCAGATAGTTTAAATCTTGCACAGTGTAAGACAGGTTTGTTACCTGCTTCTTTAGCTCTGGCTTCGTAGAGGTCCCACAAGCCACACTTGGCTAGGATACATTGAATGCCCTTGTTTTTACCAGCAAGTTTTGCATCAGGATAGTCAGCAGGATAGACCATGGACTGAGGAAGTCCTTGACGTTTGATAGGAATCCTAGGGTTGGGGTTGGGATCTCAGTATCTTGTATTGGTGATTTCTTGCCACCGGGATTAAGATTCATGTTGGAGACTCGGAGAGCAGAGGGTCCGTAAGACTTGTGCGCAGAAGAACAATCAAAGATAAAAACACCCTGTGCTTTGGGGAGAAGGTACTGAAAGATAGGAATCACTCGGTTTTTGACTTGATTGATTAGTTGTGTGCAATCCCACCAAGGATCACCTTTGGATCCGGGGTAAGTAACCACTGCAGCATCAGTAAATGGAGGTAAAGAGAGTTGTGCGTGTTCATCTTGATCTTGAGATGTAATTTCCAGTTGGCCAGTGCTGTTGGCTGGCGTGATCCAGTCCAAATCATGGATAGGTCGTCCGTTGCTCTTCTTACGCAATTCTTGAACATTGTCTTTGAACCACGCTCGCTTTAATTGTTTGTTGGAATGGACTGTTGACTCATCGTGGAAAAGGAAAACTGTCTCCTTCTGATCTTGAAGCAGAAGAGGATCTGGAGCAATTGAGAACTCCAGAACCTTGCCATGATAAGTTCAAAAGCGCTTTTGAAGCTCAGCCACCATCTCAAGATATTTATGGCGGTATTCAACCACATCAGGCTGTTCATGCCCATCAAAGTACAATCCTTTACTGTACTTGTGTGAAATCCCAAAGAATGAAGCCAATGATTCAAAGTCTTGATACAGATTGTCTTGTTGATGCCATGCTCAGGTAAGGCAATGGTGTTGACATGGTGAAGCAAAGATAAAGGGGTGAGCTGGTAATTAAGAACATCATGATACGACAATGTTTACAAACCATCATTCTAGAAAGAGGAGAAGAGAATATGAAAAACAAACATACCTCTCCAGGTTTTTTAGATATAGCCCAGGTATGAAGTGAGTCAAATAACTTTCTATCATCAAGCATTGATTTATGTGATGAAGCAAACCCTCGCTGACTTGCGATTAACTCTTTCAATCTAGAGACGTTCACAGCTTGCTGTTGGATTTTTTCGGCTCGACTGACTCCTGTGGTTGGTTGATGGGAAGACTTTTGATTTAAGGGTTGTCTACGAATTGATGAGGCCGCAGTTAGGATCGAAGCAGTGACAGAAGGATCTTTTTCACCATTGATGGTGAGTTCAAGTGGTCGTTGATTGAATTCTCAAAGATTGTCAATGATAGAAGCTGGATATTTGAAGTGACAATTGGCTTTTGCTTCTTTATGATACTTATCTTCAATAAATCTGATATCTGCATCTAACTCATCATATTGGTCTTGAGCTGCTTGCTTGATTTTTTGAGGCAATGAAAGTTTGGTCTTGCTAGATTGATAACATTTGAAACACTCTTTGATCCATGAGTTTGATACTACTACATTAAATACATTGACTTCAGTTTCATTTTTGGTGTTATCTTCATCAGAATCAGACGTATCAGATAATTCAATTGCATCGTTATGATCATCGTGGGCAGAGGTTTCAAAGGTGTCAGTTGGAAGAATTCCGGGTGATGCTGGAGGAGATGAAGACAGAGCTGGAGAGGGAGCTGGGGCTGGTTGACAAGTAAGCCAGTTGTTAAAGTTAAACACCCTGGTTGACTTTCCGCGAGCTTTTTCTCGATTGATTTGGTATCGTCTTTGTGTTTCTTTTGGTAGTTTATGTGGTACAAGCTTCTTTGAATTTGGTTGAACACAAGGCTTCTTATAGCCTTTGAGGATATGACCAGTCTTGGTTTTGCGTTTACCAAGATCTGGTTGATGGATGAAAGGGCGAGTAAAAACTGAGAACAAAGCATTGTTGACAAGCTCATTGTCACATGCTTTTTCATCCAAAGAATCGGCAATTCCAGCTTGTGTGTAGAGTGGAATGTCCAAGGGGTCCATATTGTCCTCTTGAGTTAGATAATCAAGATTTAAAGGCATCCAGTAGAGCCCGGGAGGTTGAAGGATGACCAATTGAGGAGGTTGGAGGGTCTGTGATTCCTCAACTTCAGAATTGGAGTCGACGTGAATCATGATAGGAGGGTGAGATGATACAATCTCTGATTCATTTCTAGATATGGAATCAATATCCGGATCAACGGTGAGCTCTTGATCTTCCGAATTGGAGATGACCCTGATTTGTTTTTCCAGTTTGGTCTTGCAAACCTTCTTCCAGCGTTGTGCTTGAGATTTTGAAGCTTTGCTTTTCTTTGGCATGATTACATATGTACATACAAAGTTTTTGAATCAAAAGCGGGGATGGAACAATGAGGAATGCAATGATAGGGTGGTGTAAGGAACCTTTGCCAAAAAAAAACCCTGCGAAAAAAATTTTGGGTATTACTGGGACCCCCAACATTTGGGTCCCGGGGCCGGGGCCAGGGCAAGGCTCTGGTTGTGACTAGACTGGAGCAACTGTATTTGGTTTATTTCTGTTGGCTCACTGCCATTGAACAAAAAGAATCACTCAATAAATAATGAAGATTTAAATGGTCATGGAGATTGGTTTTGGCTGATAAAGAAATTCATCAGACTGGTGTTTATATAGAAAAATTGAATGCTATTGATTTTGACTGAAAGCTCTCTGAAGCAACCGCAAACTCTCCATATCACTTTCAAGCTATTGCTTTTGTTTTCAGTTCAAACCTTTTTGGTGCAATTGCCAGCTAAAATGCCCTATCAGCCCAGGTTAAAAATCAAAAGCATAGACTGCTTTTTCTTATGATCCTCTGCAAATCAAAGGGCTCAAAAGGTACATAGAATATGCAAATTTCAAAAGTCTGATTTCTTCAATCTTAAATGGCTCAAAGATTGATGTATGTTGAGCGACCCAACAGTTGAGATTATTGGTAGGATGTCTAGACTTTCTGTGGGAAATTCTAGACATTGTTCTACTTTTTATATCTAGCCTTATGATTGATTTCAAGCGCTCATGGTTTGTTGAGACACACAATTGCAGTCCTTAATGGGATGTTAAGTCTTGACAAGGGTGCAAATTACAATATTTGATATATTTTAAAACTGAGATTTGAGTAGCAAGTCCCAACAAGGAAGAATTCCTGATTTGAGACACAGCGCTCAAATGAATAAAAGTATTTCAATCTGTGCATTAGAATGACTTTAAACTGGGAGGTCTTGATATAGTCAGAATCTGTCAATGTGCAAGTCTCATTATGCATTGTGTCATGAAAGACTTTTATCTGAGACTTAGTGCTCTAATAAAAGTCGTTTTTGATTTTGAGTTCAGTTAAAGCAGGCTCTTCATGCAATACCATGAAGATATCAATGTGTGAGTTACATCATTTATAGTCAAAGCCATTTGTCTGATATTTAATCTGTTTCTTTAAATACTTCATCTGAGCAATTATCAAAAGCAGAAGTGTAACGATGTGGCAAGTGATTGGAGTAAGCAGCAATAGCTATCCAGTTGGATAAAAGGCCAAGTTTCACATGTGAATGAATTACTTGACCTTCATTCTTACAAAAGGTTGAAAGACTATCCAAATTGGTCAGACTGGCCTCGGATTTTTCCGGACCTTATCATGCGTGACTCAAAAAATATCATTTGCTTGCTCAACGTATAACTTTTTAAAAAATGCTCAACATTAAACTTTTTGAAAAGGCCGAACTTTTACTTTTTGAAAAAGGTAAATGATTGTTTTGACTAAATCCAATTGGGCCTGTCAAAATGCAAATGTCACCCATCACCCCTCTTTGGCAATTGATGTCTGTATTGATACAAAATCTCCTTTGAGAAGTACTTTCCATCGCTTATGTAAACATTTTCTTAGGGCGTGAATGGCCTGAAGAATAGTCCTTGAAAATTAAAAGCCGTTGTTGATTTGCAATGATCTGACTGAAGCAACCGTTTTTACACTACAAAGAACATGTTTTCTGGGCAGAAAACGCAAATATTGATATTCAAAACCATTGGGCGGTCAGGAGAAGGGCAAGAAATACAGAAAAATATGGATATTTTTCCTGGTGTTGAGAGCTTCAAGCTGAGTATTTTTGTGTATTTTTAGAGGGCATATTGTTGAATGTACTAAGAAAAACCCCATATGCATCAGATGTACACCTGTAACCGATGCTGGAATTCAGTTCCTCAGATTGGAGAGGACAATTTGAATTCTACAAATGCTCATAAAATTTGCAATTCTTGGTCAAAAGACTCACTTTTAGGCTCATTAGGAAGCCAAAGTCTCTCTGTAAATGTCTTAATAATGATTCAGGCAGTTTGAGCTGAACTTTCCACTTTTTTTAGCCAACCAAGATTGTACCTTCAATTGGGCTAATCCATTGGAAGTGTTACGTGATGTAAAGCCAGCATATGTCGCGGAAAGAATTGGCATGTGCAAAGAGTACACTTGGTGGATATTGCAGGTGAGTTTGATTATTCCCATTGTTTGTCTCAGTCAGGTGCTGTTACAGCTTTTCTAAATAACACATTTTATGAAACAGGACAATCACAGCAGGCGATTGATTTCTGTGCATGTCAGAGTGATCAAGGTAGGTTGATTCAGATGGGGTATCTGGGAGCTTCACCATTACATCCCAGGACAGCGTTCAATTTGGGTTTTCTTTGGACACATCACATCCTTTGGAAATGGTGCTGTGTACGAACAGAACCGTTTTCGCATGCTATTGACAAAGTGCTTGATGCTTTCTGGCCGGTAATCACCTCACAGAAATAAAACCAGGTGAGATCAAGATTTATGTCCTCAGCCTCCCCAGTAGATAGATCTGACAGCGGGGCTTCTTATGAAGCCACAGGACTGGAGAAAGCCTTTAGGTGCAGCTTCAGATGCTTATCGCAGGTTAATCACAGCAGTCCGCCAGAAGGAAATGGGATTGTTAAAACTTGATGAGCTGGCTAAACTCGCGGCCAACTGCCTGTGATGCTTTGGACCACCAGCACCGGATACCACAACTGAACTTTGTGAGCCTGACTTTGTATACTGTTGTGACAATAATTTTCAGCAAAGGAGACACCTGGCAGCAAGTGTACCTATTCCGGGGTACAATCCCCCAGCACCAGAGCTCTTCATGGAACCTTCCAAAGTTGAAGAAATGGCTGAGGTAATAAGAAATTCCATATCACTTTGGCCACTTTGGGACTTACATACATTCAATCAAAAACTTCATTCTTATGTAGGATCCATGTACAGCTCAGCACACAGCAGCTGACAATGTGCGGGACAAGAATCATTGGGGCGGAAATGACAATACAGGCTTGCTGGGCATGGCATGTCACCACGACCATATACTTAAATTTGCAAACATAAAGCAAAGTGGCAAAAAGTGCTTTTATTTGCTCATAATCTAATATACATACTCTTTTGTATTGATATGAAGCTTTTATGTGTTTTCTGTTTTTCTAGGAGCTACTTTGCAATCACATTGGTGGATTGGTTGCTTAAAGTGACCAAAACCCAAGGACTACATGCAAACAAAGTTGCAATACTTTATGATATAGGGTGTAACATTGAGAAGGGAATCCTAAAGGTTAGTCTTTTCAATTTCCTAATGTATGACATCTCTGATTGTTTGAGTCAAAACCAACGCAAACAATTTGCTAGAGCAAGGGCCAAAGGTTGGCTCAAGTTTGGCACTAGCGTGTTTCACGCTTTTGTGCATGAATGGTCATGTCAATTGGCTTAGAACCCTTGACTGAACGCAGGGTGGGGCTTGTCAGATGGAGAAGGCCTCGAAAAAAATTGGTCTTTCTTATCTCCACTTATATCACCGCTGCGCTACTCCACCGCCCAACATTGACTCAAAAGTCTTAATCTTTGGGCTCTTCATTTCAATCATCAAAATTGACATGATGCAGGTTTGTGGCTTATGAGCTTCTGCCATGAGAGCATTTGTCTATGTTCTGATATACCAATACCAATACGATTGTACAATCTATCACAGTACAATCATTGGGATTGCATATAAGGAAAGCCAAGATTCGACTTTTCGACGCTCAGAGCTTGTTGGACCAGCTGTTGGCTCAGCACAGGCATACCTTGGAGTACTTCAGTGGTCAGTGGGATAAACAGAGGTGAGCTCAGATGGATGTGATCAGCCAGACAGCCGCGGAGAAAATGAAGCGTATGATTGTACTGCTTGATCTGGAGGAGAAGCTCATTGAAACTTGGTGGGAAATCTCTCAATCTCTTTATCACGCATTCAATAACCCACCCTTTTAATTGACTTTTGTTTATGTATGTGTCTTTCTAGGGAGTCCCTCAAAAAATTCAAACTGAAAAGGGTTTGATTTCAAACCGGACATGAAAAAGAGGATCTGCTTAATATACCAAAATCACTGTTAAACCTGGAGACTCAGATTCAGAATGCAGTATACAAACTGGGGTCAAGAGAGTTCTTGGAGCTGACTGGCCATTCAGGTGACTTTTCTTGCCATGATGAGGGCTTTTTGGCCTATCATGACTGATTATACATACATCTAACATCTTCAGATGACCGAGCAAAACCGTTATTAACTCTTCAGGTAGCCAAAAGCAAGTTGTAAGAGGCAAGGGTTGGTGTCATTGAGGATCAACACCGTTCTGAGCAAAGCACTGGTGAGTTGGTCATCCCAAGACCGTGTGTACAGTGTTCACTGACATGGAATGTATACTGCAGGAACAACCAGCCAGACTCGTTTGAACGACATAAAGTCACAAAAGAACAAGATCTTTGAAACAAAATACAATTCCTACCATCGCCGCATCAAGGACTATAACAATCTTTTACTCCCACACCTCTCATTGAAGACCCTTCCTTTGCCGAGGTTGAGAAAATGGATCTATCAGACCTGTTTTGGTCTGGTGGATCAACTCTCAGTCATCTAGGTGAGCCATGGGCAAGTGACTTGCCCACACGTGAAGGAATCCAATTCTTTTTGAATCTATGCTCATTGCAAGAAGAGTTATGTCGGCTCGCATGCAAGGCGCAACAGTTGACACAGTGGGCATTAGAATACCAGGCAAACATTGACTCTGTCAACACACAGAATGTTGGTGGCTTAGGTGAATTGACAATCTGCTCATGTGTAATGTGATATTGAAAATTCAGCTGATCATCTCTGTTCCTGAAATAGATGAGAGACACACCATCACAGTCTGTTTACATGCGGGGCTGCAAAAGGAGGTGTGTCAGCTTTGGTTTCACTGGAATGCAGATTTAGTTAATGCGTTCAGGTCAACAGCAATCTATCTTCCCAGCCGTGACCAATTGGCACACGATCAGGAGCTTGTCACTCAATGGAAAGGCCTCATGGAAGGACTATTTGGACACTGGGAACCAATTTTAACCAGAGTTGCTGTTGGAGAAGAAGAAGATTACGGTATTGCTGCAGCAGATGAGGCTGAAGCAGAAGAGAACTGTCTAATGACTTCTGAGAATTTTGACATGATTGAGGATGACTATTGCAATACATAAGGTACATGTTGTCTTATCAGTTTCTTTGTTTGGCTACCTATGTCTATGTATGATTCTATACCATCAACTCATCAAACTGAGCGGACTCATAATGTATTGTTCATAAACTTGTTTGACTGCTGAACAACAAACAATTTCCATTGCATTTCAAAAATATAGAATATATTATGATATAATAGATCATCATATAGGTACATAATAAGCCAAATGTGATCAGAAGTGATTAGAATTAGATTCTTGTTATAAATAATAGTAAAGGAATTATCACAATTGAATGAATCAAGTGACTGAGTGAACTAATCAACAAGGAGATGTAAATGATATTTGATCTTTTTCTTGATGATGGATAATACAATAGAAGGTGTGATTTGACCATAGTGTATGATGGCAGTTGGCTGTAAGCACTCAGATGTGTAAGCACAAAGTCAGTCAACTTGAATGTATTGTTTGGGTATGAGTGACAAGTTGTTTGGATGGGGTGAGACAAAGTTCCATAACAGTTCTCAAAAGTTGAGATGACTGACCAGCAGAAGTGTAAAGTTGAGACCATTATTACCTTCTGACTTGGGAGAATCCAGAGAAGGTGGTGAATGAAACAAAGTTGAAGTCAGATGGTTTGGTTTGGTTTGGGTTGACCATTGAGGAAAGGTGGTGAATGAAACAAAGTAGTAAACCCAGTGGTTTTGATTGAGTTAAGGAGGTGGGCTTGTGATATGAATGATAGTGAGTCTGGCATATTGTGTTTGATGTGGTGAGTTGATGAGCTAGCGTAATGAATTGATGTCGTGAGCCGAGGTAAGAGAACCTGGTGAAGTGATGGAGTGAAATTTGAATGAGTCAGGTATGTACTGTGTTGTAATGTGGTTGTGAGGTTGCGTGTTGAGGTGGTGTACTCAATGCAATAATGGACCAGGGTCAAAGTTGGTGGTTGATTGGGTGGTGAGGTGGCGGTTTGTGGACTGTTGTTGGTGAGTTTGCGTTGTATATATTGAGTGGTAAGGTGGTGGGTTGTGACCGGTTGGCGGTGAGTTGTATTGTATAAGGTGGGTGGTGAGGTGGTGGCCTGTACATGGTGGGTGGTGAGCTGGTGAAAGTGTACACTGGTAGTGTGCTGGTGAACCAGGACTGAGCCATTTTTTCAGAGAGGAGAGTGGCAGCTCTCCTGCTCTTTGGCTCGCAAAGAAAAACACGGACTCTATTTGAAGATACATGTACAGTTTTCTTTGGATAGTATCCAAGGATTCAAAAGGACACAGGTGAATGCACCTCTTGAGTCGTATTTAGTTGCTCACAATCCTGTCCACATATTGTTCACAAATATATACAATTAAAGAAATCATAGTATGACAATATGATGAAATACGAGTCACATGTGCTATCATTATCAACGGAAACTATTCCTCTTTCTGAAGGGTTCCCACCCGGGGTACTCCATGGGATGCTTCTAGCTTTTTTTATCTCAATACTCATCAAGCTTATCTAGAAGACAATCCAGTTAAGATAGATGCCATGCATATTGGCAGATGTTGCAAACCTTGGTGTCCAAAGCTCAAGATTGCTCCTCATTGGTCTTGTCATCACTACAGCATTCTGCTACACACAAATCAAGAGGCCACAGCGGCTCCTTCAAACCCACAACATCAAGCCTGTCTTCTTTCAGCTAAAAAAGACAAAGTTTCAATTGATGGATTAATTCAGTTATGATATTGATCAATGTATCATTGCTCACTGCTCTTGCACAAGAGACCCGCAACTGCCACCTATCTCTGGCCTGTTGTCTTTCAGGAGTCCACCTGTGTTGTTTGCGCCAACTAATTGAGGAGATGTTAATACAATAACACCTTGGTCAGCTTTTAATTATGGTCTCTTGATTCAATCTAAAATGTGCTTACATCCTTCTCAGCCTATCCTCAGTGTAGCTCTTCATTAACTCCTAAATGAGTTCAGGGCGGACATCTGCAGGTGATATACCCTTATATCCACCACATTTGACCAGCTTGATAAAGCTTGCAGTTGCAAACTCAAGTAGGAATTTGTTGTCTTTCGAATTGATTGATTCATCAAATATGAGCCGATATGATACCATTGTAACACCACACATCATAACCCATATAATTGTGATCACTTCTGCTGTTGTGCTTTTGCTTCCTGATCCACTTCCATATGGAAACAGTTCATCATCTGTACCGGGTTCATTTACCTCAGCATCCGCCTCTTTAAGGTCCATGTTTAGCATCTGTCTCATTGACTTACGTAGTCATATTGAACATTATTCCATTGTTGCCCCTTTGGGCATAATTTTTACACTTTTACGTTGCCCATATAGAAGTTTGAGATGAAATTGAACCAGGCCCTAGTAAGAAAAAGTGGGTTAGTACAAATACTTTGACTTGAAAAACTAAGACCTGTATAATATGCAACAACAAGAGACCAACACGGAGCACAGCTTTCCTTCCAGCAGGGGTAGCTTCAGGTGGATCCGGTTGATTATCTACTTCATGATCATCTTGATCTTCCTCATGTGCCCGCCAATTTTGGTGTTGGTGTGCGTTCCTCAAAGAGATGTTGACCTTCCTCAGAGTTGTGTCCAATCTTTCTTGGACTCCTTCAAGCTTGGTGTTTAATTAACGCTTCCATATCCACATCCCAGTCCCCGGCATTGGCCTCCAGAAAGGTTACTTTACACTCCAGCTTGTGTAATTGATGATCAATCAAAGGCTGCATCCTGGTAGAGCAAGCCACTGGAGGAAAATGGTGTCTATTGGTGGAAAACTGAGTTGTTGAGTGAGGTTGACATTCATTGTCTAAATTGACATGTAAACTAGCTCCAGAGCTGAATGTATAGTCAAAATACAGTAGTCAACTCACATTGATTGAGGTTTCTATCATTGTGAGAAGCATCTTGCGGACCATGACTAAGTTGAGATCTTCTTGAAGAATTTGGATCATCTTTGTCATCTTGAGGACTGATTTGTCTGGTGGAACAGTAAGATCTAGTTGGTGATAGAGAGAGATTGTTCCTTGCACGCTGCTTTTCTTTGTTCCAATGGAACGTAAAATGTGGTGAAGTTTCTGTTGTAGGGCTATTTTGATCAGGTGTGATACATGATGATCTAGGTGGTGATATAGAATCATTGACTCTTTCCCACAATTTCCCTTTGTTGAGATGGACTCTACTAGGTCTTGGTGAATATGGTTGACAAACTGTGCGCTTTGTTCTGGCTAGGGTCTTCTTGTTATGTTTTCTATGCAGAAGGGGTTGTTGCTTAGGATTGCGGTCTTGACAGGTTGCAGAGTCTTCTTCCCAAGACGGTTCGTAGTCTGGATCAGATCCATCTCTGTTGGGTAGGCCATTCAAAAAGGAGTCTTCATCTTTATTCATAAAAAGGAATCCAAAGTGTCCATTTCAGTATTGAGAATCAATAATGATATGTTTGGACTATATTACAAGACGGCCATTGCTATTTGGAGCCGCAATATAACCATGTAGGGGCTGGCCAAATTACGCCTACATGGGTGTTTCCCACAAAAAAGCCCCTACATTTATTATGTAGGCGCTGAAAGCCATCCAAAATGACGCCTACATGTTGAAAAACTTGTGTAGGTGTCATGTGGTTACACCTACATTCAACAAATGAAATGTAGGCGCTAGTTTTGAGCACCTACATGGGAAATCCAATGTAGGAGCTCAAAAATTACGCTTACATTTTTAAAAATGAGTGCCTACATTCAATTTTCAGCTCAAATGAGCGCCTACATGCAGTCTTGCATATGCAAAGGCCAGCACCTACAACCCCAGACTGGTCTGACGGGAAATGGAGAACAATTTTTAAGGCAAAATGAGAGTATTGGAAGACAGAAGAAGCAGTTTGGAGTTGAAATAAGTGTATCAGAAGACGGCAAAAGCATTTCAGAGGACGGAAAAAGCAGTAAACCATTTCAACTCCTAACTTATATTTACATCTTCTGACACTACAAGAACGTAAAATTTTCTGGGCAGAAAATTAAATTATTTGTATACAAAAATCTGGAAAGGTCAGAAGCAGAGTGAAAAATATGAAAAAATATGCATCCGGTTCCTGGGTTTGAGATCTCCAATCTGAATATTTTTCTGTATTTTTGGGGTTCATATTGGTGAGTGTATCAGCAATAAACCCTCATAATCATCAGATTACCACCTGTAACAGATGCTGGAATTTGGCTGATCAGTGCTGAGAGAAACTTTTGATTACTACAAAACCCCATAACTTTGTCAATTATGGCTCAAAACACTTGATTTTCAGTGCATCGGAAAGCTGGTATTTGCCTGAAGATAGTTCATAAATGAAGCAAATACCTGGCGGGCCTGCAAGGAAAGATATCTCCGGATGAAATTGAATTTCACATATCATCAAATAGAATGTCAGTCATTGGGATTACACATTTTGTGTCACAATGAAATTGATAGTTCAGGAATTCAGCTTTCTAATGCACCTAAAATCGAGTGTTTTGAGCCAGAATTGACAAAGGTATGGGTTTTATAGTAATCAAAACTTTCTCTCAGCACTGATCAGCCAAATTTCATCATCTATTACAGGTGGTAATCTGATGATTATGAGGGTTTATTGTTAGTACACTCACCAATATGAACCCAAAAAATACGGAAAAATTTGCAGATTGGAGACCTCAAACCCAGGAACAGGGTGTATATTTTTTCATATTTTTCACTCTGTTTCTGACCTTTCCAGATGTTTGTATACAAATAATTTAATTTTCTGCCCAGAAATTTTATGTCTCTTGTAGTGTGATACACTCACCTTACACTTGAAAAGAGTTCATTCATCTTCCAATACGCTCAACTGCTTTTTTTGTCTCCCAAAACACTCATTTCAACTCCAAACTTTCATTTTTGTTTTCCAAAACACACATTTCAACTCTGAACTGCTTGTTCAATCTTCCAATACTCTCACTTTGACTTGAAAATTGTTCTTCATTACCCGTCAGACCAGTCTGGAGTTGTA